TTTTAATATATATTTTTAAAATAATATAAAATTATAAAATTTATCGCTGTAATTATAATCTATTATTAGCAAACCAAACTTGATCCAACCGGTGGTCCATCAAAATAAGTAGTTCCCTTAGCCAACTCATGTCCTTTTGCTGCGAAGAAGTCCACCGCTTTCGTTTCCCTTCCCTCCCCTCAAACTCATGACTTTTTGCGCAATAACTAAACATTTGATTAAATAAAATTTAATTTTTATTTTTTGTACTAACTAATATTTAAAATGTCCCTTTAATATGTGTTCTTAGTAAAACCATTTAACTAATATTGGACTTTTTTTTATTAATTTGTATTAAAATTTTTAAATTTTAATCTTAGTATTAAACTAGTAATGTCATATTAATTATTTTAATTTGAAGGTAGATAACATTACGATTAATTTTTATTTTTTTATAATAATTAATAAAAAATAATAAATACACACTTAAACACAAGTTAAAAAAATTTCTTTACTATTATTGAAGTTTTTTTTTTTTTTTTGTCATTTTCACTTACTACTTCTAGTCTCCTACAATAAACTTTTGCTTAACTCACTTCAAGGACAATCAAAGGGTTAATTGATAGTATAGTTTAATAGCATAATTATTATATTTTATTGACATTAATTGATATTACAAAATAAAAGTCAATCTATATTTAATAAACTATCTAATTAAAATGATTTCATGACATTGGTAGTGAAATTTATATGACATTTGTATTGTTTCAATAGTAATTAATATTAAAATAATAGTGATTTAATTATACACTACACTTATATAAAATATTGACTATTTATTTTTTTTATTTTTAATTATTGAGATTTATTCATTTATAATCATATTTATTAAAAATAATTATCTTATTTATATAAAAAATAATAAATTTTAATTATTAAAACTAGAGAAATGAATGTTCAAAAAACTTCTATAATGAAAACCTAACAAGTCACTAGGAGTAATTACCTAATTGAGCAAGTGGCAATTTCTCTTTTTAAGTAGAAATATGCGGGTAATGGAAATTAATTACAAAGAATAGATGATAATTATCTTTAATTGTAAAACCTAAAATTAAAAAAAAATTAAGAACTTAAGATGTCAATTAGACTTTATATTAATAGCATAATTTAGTATTAATTATATGATTTAATGATACAATTAGTTATGCTCTTAATTATACGTATAAAATTTAATTTTTAATCTTTATATACTAATACTAACAACATAAATAAATCAATAATAATTTTTTTAATTATAATAAAAAATTTTAAAATTTAAATCATGTAATATATAAATAAAAAAAAAAATCTAACGGAGTTGTCTCAAACTAATCATTATACAACTCAACATAAAAAAGAAAAAAATCTCTTTTTTTTTTGGTAGAAAAATAAAAAAATCTCTATAAACTAAAAAAATGTTTTTATTATTTAAAAGGTGAAAAGCACATTTGAAATCCGGGGGTCCCACCGTCCCACACTACACAAAATTTCCCCTAAATCCAATGAACCAAAAGCGTTAATCGAGGGTCAGAAGAGCGGAGGGTCCCACATGCCATCATACATGCATACAGAAAAAGATGGTAGGAAAATTCCATCACTTGATGATATCATCAGTGACGTAGACAGGTCCCACCCTCAACAATAATTAAATGTGTGGGGTCCTCAATTGGCGCAAAGTCTATGAGGCTTTTTTTTGTCGTTTGGGCCCATGGGTTATTATTGGAGTTGGATGAACGCCACTGCCTTATTGCTTCCACTATCCAACCTTTTCTTCTTCCTTTTTTTTTTAGTCCTTGGTTTTGGTGCACTTTTTGAAATACGCTTTTTATTAAGACAATTCAAGTTAAGAGATATTGTAATTTCCACAAGTCTCTTTTGAGCTAGTAAAAATTTTGAACTTGTAAATGTTAACAATTTTTAATTTTTTTTACTTATTTTTTTAAATTTTCATAATTCAAATTAAAAAAAAAAGTTAAAAAAATAAGATGCATTTATATTTGAAATATTAAAATTATTTATAGATTATTTAAATATTTTTATAAAATTTTGTTATATTTATTTTAATATTTCAGTCGACAAAATATCTTAATTTTATACAAATTTTTAAAATTTTAACTATATGTTGACTTTTTTAACTTTTTTTTTTTCTATCTCAAGGTAACTATTTGACATTGCATGAGATAATCTAGTTCTTTAATTATGCTTTCTCTATTGCAGTTAATTTTCATTAAATATATTTTATATTCTTTAAAAGTTTGAATTTGTTTTTAAAATTTTTTAATATAAATTTTAAATAAAAATTTATCAATTTATATAAATAATAATTAAAATAAATTTTTATATGAAATTTTTATTGAGTGTTTTTATTTGATAAAAAAATTAATTATCATTTATATAATATATCAAAATTTTATATTTAAAAAAATTAAATTAAAATTATAAAAAAAAAAAACAAAAAAAGAAGTAATATTTATTTTAAAATTTGACCATAGTTATTTGTTTTGTTTGCAACATGATGCATGCATGCATGCGCAAAAATAAATTTCTTCTTCAGGTTATATTCATTCACTGTATAATCTGTACTTCTCTGCAAAAAATTGGCACTTCATGCACTCACTCGTGTCCTCTCCTTAAAAATTGTTAAACTGCCGGCGGCTGATTCAAAAACTAGTAAGTAAAATCTTTTCTTATTTGGTTCTGATCTGCATTTTCCCTCTCTGCACTTTTTGTTGTCTTGAATGTATTAGGTAAAGCCATGTGATGCGGCCTATTTTCCTTTCGTCATGGAATGTTTCTCTGCCTTTTTTTGGCACATTAAATATTTAGAAACCATTTTTCTTTTTAGTTTTCAATTTTGAGTCTTATTACATGATCTCAAGATAACAAACATATATTATATGTATTTTCTTATAAATGTGACTTGAACTATCATAGGATCTTTTACATATGAGAATCAAATTATCTTAAATTTTAAAGTTTTTGAAAAATGAAGTATGCTCTCTAATACCATGTGAAAAATTAAGTATATAAAATTTAACATAAAATTTGTATATCACGTTGAGATTTTTTTAATGTGAGATTTATTCATATAATATTTTTTTAATTATTTGTCATTGATCATAATATTCAAAAATATCATGAGTCTTAAGCTCTAAACATTAGGTTATTCCATAAGAAATATGATAAGTGATTATAAACACATAGGAGTGAATGCTCAAAATCCATGCGTATATGCTAACAATCGTTCAAGTATATCAACCAACAAAAGTTCATCTGCCAAACACGATATAGTATCATCTTACATGTGGGTAGGATTAAAGAATTCTTATACACGCTTATAATTTCTAATACATATTGTGAGGTAAGTTGCGCATAATAGATCATTTCTTACTGAAAAAGGAAATGATTTCTTTGGTTATTTGTTTTGCTCTCTCCAACTGGATGTAATGGTGGCCGTCCACAACAACAACTTGAAGATCAGGAACAAGGGCCACAAGGCTCCTAAATGCTTCTCCTTTAATGTAGTCCTTTGTTCCAAAGGATTGAAACCCCACATCTTTATCACCAACTACTATGTATTTTGTTGGCACAGTAATCCTTGCTCCTTGCCATGCTCCAAGAAGCTCCCAATTCCTTCATTCATCATAGGGTCATGATTTAGATACCAATGCCTCAATACACTCACAACTAAGTTAAATTGAGTTCACATTCATGTAGTTATGTACTGATCATAAAATCTTACTCTTGGGGTCATGATCATGGGTTTGAAACTCTCGTAATTGCTAACCAACTAACTTGGATGTTCTATATATATGTATATAATGTCTTACATGTCCATGGCACGGTAGTAGTTCAAGGCACCAGTAAAACCAGATTTCTGAAACTTTTCAGCACAGAATTCAAGCTCTTCCTGTGTTATCCAATGAGGCAATGTAGATGGAGTCGCAAGGAAAGCGATAATTTCAATTCCAGGAGGAGCAGACAGAAGATCAGGAGCATTGATCAACAGAAACTTCTTCAATATTGTTAAGGAATCATATTTGGAAAATGACTCTTCGGCTCTCCCTGGCTCCTGAAACAATTCAAAACCAAAACCCCAGTTTTAGGAGTTTCAATGAACAATTCTTGTTGCTAGTTTTTGCTTTCATGGACGCGAAAGGTTTTATCTTTGGTGAACGTGGCAGGTAAGGGAGGCCTAAATTGACCAATGCCTTCACTCTCTCTGGCCTCAGGAGGCAAAGATACCATGCCACCTGTGCTCCCCAGTCATGCCCCACAACAAATGCCTACCCATTTTGCAACACATAGAAAGGATTTCAATTGGGTTTCCGTTCATTTAAATGCAAGTTTCGTTTTGTTTCGGAAATCATAACTTAAGTGTACAGAATCATGATATCAGTTATTGCAAATCAACAGTTTGTAAAAATGCCTAGCCCACTATTAATGCGGATTGCAGCACGGTGTACGTTTTCCCATAAGTTAAGAAGAATTTCAAGTGGGTATTTCATCCGTATAAATGCTAAACGTGATTTGTTTCAAAATCATTGCAAATATTTCCAGAAAAATGATAATTTTGATGTGGCACACCAAGTGTTTGTAAAAATGATTTACCTGTTTTTCTCCAAGCACATCAAGAAGGCCTATCAAGTCTCCAACAAGATGGAGAACCGTGTAGGAGGCTGGGTCCTTGAGGCAGTCTGAATCACCATAACATCTCATGTCAGGTGCAACAACGTGATAGCCGTGCTCGGCCAAGCTATTTATCTGGTAATTCCAAGAGGACCAGAGCTCAGGGAAGCCATGAATCAGCACAAGATCAGGTCCTTCTCCTTTCTCTGCTATGTGCATCCATATTCCATTAGTTTGGATCCTTCTATGTTTTATGTCACTCATAATTCCTCTAATTTTCTCTCACAATGTTCTTACATTAGATATGTTTGTTTCTTCTTAGAGATTATACGGTTCAATGGAGTTTTTCAAATTTGGTCGGTCTGGTTGTTCGCCAAAGAAATTCAACAGTTTTGACTCAAGAAAGTAAGCAAT